TCGTTCCTCACGTCAAAATCACCACTTTTGAATTTTTTAAACCACTCGAAACACTGAGATTTACCAAGAGCATATTCACCGTAAGCTTCGACAAGCATTCGATGTGATTCTGCAGCAGTTTTCTTTAAATGATAACAGAAAATCAATGCTGTCCGCAAATCATAGTTAGTAGGCTCGAAACGTGACATGTTTAAGGTTATACAAAAATATACTAGAGAATGAAAGTTGGGGTTATGTTTGTTGACAATATTCGTCAGCTGTTAGGAGAATATAATAGCGCGGCAGTAGCGGTCTTACGGTCACTAAACTGAACGCTGGCACCATTTATAGGGGAATTCCGGTTTCATACTTCTACACCTGGTGTATATATATATAGTACTGTATTCCTTGCGGAGTACATTGCGGACTTCCGCTCCGCTTACAAAATTTTTTACATCTTATTCTTCGCATCCTTTATATCGCTTGAGAGAGAGAGAGAGAAATTACGCACCTCCACCCGGGAGCGGTGCACTTGGACACGGTGCATTTGGACACAGCCAAGCACAGCACCGTGTGATTAGAGACATTTGTAGGGTCCCTTGGAACAGCGACTTGTGATTGGACTGTGTCCAATTGCCCCGTGTCCAACTGATATACACCTTTCTGGCACCCCCTTGTCCTTAACCCTACCATTTGTTAAAACTGGAGCCCCTGGTTTTCTCTCACCTCTCCTCCTCCTGCCACCTGCTCTCTCTTGCCACCACCTCCTCCCCCCTCAATTCTCCCTCTTCTCTCATCTTTTCAATCTCTTTTATGCTCCAGCTCTTCTCCTCATAGAAATCTCTCCTTTCCTCCTCCCAATTACCCATCACCCTTCCCTCTTTCGCCCTATCCCTCAACTCCTCCCAACATAACCTCGCTAGCTCCCCTCCTCCTCCTTCTCCCAGTTTCTTTTCATAGCTCCACGCCCTCATCCCTACCCTCCCCCTCAACTTATCCCTCTGCATCTCCTCTCTCACCATGTATCCCGGTGTGTACCTCCCAACCCCTATGACCCACTTCAGAAACCTGTCCTGTAACCTCTCCACCCCCTCTCTTTCTTTCTAACCCCAAATCTTCACTCCATAACTAACCACCGTCCAAAGCAACCTATCAAATAACCACATCCTTCTCGACCAATCCTTTCCAAACTTCCTCTTTGCTATCCCCCACACTTCTCTCATCACCACCGCTACTTTGTTAACTCTCTCTTCTAAATGCTTCCTCTGACCCCCATTCGCCATCATAACATACCCCAGGTATTTATACTTCTTCACCTCTTCTAATTCCTTCACTTTCCATTTCCACACGATCTTCTTCTGCCTCCCACCTCCCCTTCTACACCTCATAACCTTCCTCTTATCTACGTTAACCTCCCTCCGATCCACATACCTTTCCAGTGCCTTAATCATTCCTTTCATCCCTACCTCCCCCTCAGCCACCACCGCCACATCATCCGCATACGCCAACGAATATATCTTCCTCCCCTTTACCCTCACTCCCCCCCTTCCTTCTCTAGCTCCTCATCCAAGTCCGCCAGCAAAAGTGTGAACAAACATGGGCTCAGCGGACACCCCTGTCTCACCCCTCTCCCCGTCCAGAAGTTTTCCCCTATCTTGTCCCCCACCCTGTCACTCTACTTATCGTCTCCTCTAACATCTCCTCACATCTCACTACCAAACTCTCTCTAACTTTCCTCTTCCTCATCATCCCTATAAGAATCTCTCTATCCACCGAGTCAAATGCGGCCTTCATATTAATGAACAAGACAACCATCTTTCCCTTCCACTCCGCCACCCTCCTATTTATTAAATAATTAAGTACGTAGATTTGGTCAATCGTTCCTACCCCTCTTCTAAACCCCGTTTGACTCGATGGAAGTATCTCCTTCCTCTCCACCTCATCCCTCAACCTCTTGGCCAACACCATAGCGTACACCTTGTAGGCCGTTTGTGTTAAAGTAATCCCTCTGTATTCCTCAACTTTCTCCCCAACCTCCTTTTTCACTATCGGGACAACTACCCCCTTCCTCCACTCTTCCGGCCAACCCTCTCCCCTCCACACTTTGTTACATATTTCCCACAGCCATTCTCTTATTACTTTTCCCCCATATTTCCACACCTCATTAACTATACCATCTCCTCCCGCCGCTTTTCCCTCCTTTAGCTTCCTTATCGTTCCCTCTATTTCCTTCCTGCTGATTTCCTCTTCTTCCTCTTCCCCTTGCCCCCTCACTTCCCCTCTCACCCTCCACTCCACCCCTCCCAGAACTCTTCTACAGTGTTACTCCCATTCCCTCATTTCAATCCCTTCCCTGATTCTCTTTCTCTTTTTCCTCCCCTTGTTTACTACCTTCCATACATCTGCTTCCGATCTTACTTCTTCTAATTCCCTCTCCCATTTATCTCTCTCCTTTCTTCTCTTCTCATTACAATGCTCTCTATATCTGTTCCTCATCTCCTTATAATTCACACCTTCCCCTCCTCTCTTCTTCCACCTCTTTAATTCCTCCCTTACTTCTCTTTTCATCTTCCTACATTCCCCATCCAACCATCCTCCTCTCACCTTTTTCTCTTCTCTCTCCACTCTCTTTAAAGCCCCTTCCACTCTCCTCTTCATCTTTCGCCATTCCTCCTCCACTCCCTGCCAATCACCATCCCTCTCCCCCACGTATTTCTCAAACTTCTTCTTTCCCTCTTCCGTCCACCCCTCTTCTTTCTTTCCCTTTCCTTTTTCCAATTCTCTCTTCACGTCCTCCCCCCCTTCACGTAGACTGTGATCGGCTGGTGGTCGGAGTCCACCCAGTCCTCCACCTTCATCCTTACTACTTTCCCTCTCGTCTCCTCATTCCCGATCACATAGTCAATTACCGTCCCTCCCTTCCCTCCCGTAAAAGTCCACTCCCCCTCTTCGTCCCCCTTTATGCATCCATTCATTATCGACCATCCTAATTCCCTTAAAAAACCACACAATTTCTTATCTTCTCTATTCATCTTTTCATCCTTCGAATTTCTCTCTCTCTCCCCTATCCCTCCCTCTCCCTTCTCTCCTATTCCTTCTCCCTCTTTCTCCGTCCTTGCATTAAAATCGCCCCCTATTACTACACTCACCCCCTCCTCTCTCTCCTCCATCCACTCTCTTAACTGCCTTATTTAATCCTCCAAATCCCCATTCACATATACTCCCACTAATCTCCACCATTCTTCCCCCAGATTAACTTTAACCACCTGTAATCCTTCCTCCCTTCTTTCCTCATTCTTTTTTTCTCTTTCTATCCCCTCCCTGATTCCTACAATCATTCCTCCCATTGCCCTCCCTTTTTTACTCTTCCTTCCTGCTTCTTGCACTTCCCAAACATATCCCTTCGGTAACCATTTTTGCACCCTCTCTCATCCCTTTCTCTATAGCCATGTCTCACTTAAGAACATCACATCCCATTCCTTTAATTTCTCCCTAAAATCCTCCTTTTTGTTTTCCATGCCGGCCACGTTCCAAAAACCTATTTTATATTCCTTACCATCTCCTCTTCCCCTATTCCTCCTCTTTCTCCCACCTTTTTCATTTCGTCTATTCCCTGCTTTCTCCCCTTCTCCCTTCCCCCACCCCCCTTCTAAAAAACCTCTATCCTTTTTCCCACCACGTTCCCCCCTTTTTCTCCCTTCTCAACCTCTCTTATTTCTCTTCCCCTCCTTCAGTTCGTCTCTCATCTCATCCCATATCCACAATTTATCTTCAATCCATATTTTCATATATCCTACTCTTACTTTCTTACCTTCCCTCCTATTCCTTTCTGCCTCCTTCCTGATCCATCACTTTACCCTTCTCTCTTTTTCCGTCAAGTCATCCACGATCCATTCCCTCCTCTCCCTCAGCTTCGCCTTTCCCTTCATCACATCTATTTCCCCCCCCCCACACTCGCGAATCTTACCCATACCATTTCCCTTCCCTCCTTATCTTCATTCCCTATCCTCCTCATTCCTTCTATTTCCGCTGTTGCCC